GAGTCGGCCTAATGCAAAGACAGAAGCGTATATCCAAAACAGATGTGAGCGCACTGTAGCAGAAAACAGGGCCGGAACAAAGAGGTGACCCAAAAAAACAGTGTAGTATGAATGTGGCTCATTGTGCTGGTCCACGTGTGTTTGATGGAGACGGTTGTGTTCACATTGAAGGTGGGTATGACTCACATCATCCATTAGATCAGTGGCTGGGGTTTGGACAGCAGCCCTTCCTTGATACTGAGACCACCGCACTCAAACCCTCCCAAACAGCCATCTGCTTAGGATTTGTACTCTGTGTACATCTTTAAAGAGAATTCAAATACTGCAAATGTAACACTTTATTGTCCAAGGACCAGTCACTGCGCCTCTCTGCATGGCAGCAGTCACCCTGTTGTGTGCCAAGTTTCCTTGAGCAAACGAGGCATGTCTGCCCTCCTTCTGTGGAAATAACTTTTCTCGCTGTAGGAGCCATTTGGAGACGCTTCATACACCCAAAGGGGGACAGCATGCATTTTGGTTCATTTGAGAGCAAATCATTCCTCTTTGCATCGATTTAAAGGTCCCCTATTATACTCTTTTTCATCAATATATAATAGGTCTCAGTTATATACAAAACATGTCTATGAAGTGTTTGGCTCCAAATACCAAACAGATCATTGTAGCATCCCATAATCCCCTCTGTTTCAGCCCTGTTTCAAAAGTGCTGATTCTCTGCCTGTTACTTTAGATGAAAATAAGGAGCCACTCCCCACGCCCCTCTGAGAGATATTTGGTTAAAAAGAACACAATGGTGCTCTAGGAGGAGATGCAGGTGATAAGATGGAGAGGGGGGGGGGTTACCTTGGTTGGTGATTGGCTAATGGTTACACAACCCCAAAAAACATTATGACATCACAAAGTGGCCAAAATCGGATCAGTTCATTTTCAGGTTTTAAATAAATGGATCAGGACAAAAAGAGAGCGAATCTTTGTTCCTGAAACTTTACGGATCTCTTTACACATATGTATAAAATACATGAAAAAGTGGATTTTGCATAATGGGTGACCTTTAAATAGAAGTAGCTTTCTTGCAGTGTGTTGTACTGGATGTTCTCTGCCTAGTTTGCTGGTGTACATCACAGTCAGTCACTGTCAGACTAACCCATCACACACACGCTTGCCCGAATGTAAGGCTCATGCTGCAGTGAGAAGATGTCCTAATATTCTTTTTGGGTGGTCGAGCCAGCAGTGTGGGCTCTTTCTCAGTTGATCTTCACACCAACTGAAGCGTCTTTGCTCCTGTCATGCTGTCGGAGCAATCAGTCTGACATATCTGTGTTAACAGCGTCCTGGGGTCAGGGCTGCGGGGGGTGCCGGGTTGTAATTTAGACTGTGGCTGAGTTTGAAGCAGACCACAGACACGCTAACTAAACTCATTTGTTTTATTCAGCATTCCACTGTCGGCACAACAATGTAACGAGGGAATTCTGACTGCTTTTATCAGAATGGTATGATATGCATTGAATTACGGTTCAGTTTATCTTTGCAGTATTTTTTGGGTGTGTCTTCTATTTTTTGCTTTAAAGGTCCCATGTCATGCTTTTCCAGTTATTACCCGTCCCCTTGTGTGTTATGAAGGTTTTTCTGCATGTAAACGGTCTGCAGAGTCAAAAACCCTCAAAGTACACCCTGTAGCGAGTAAAACTCTAACACAGAAAAGACCTGTCTATGCTGCCCCAGAACGCCTCGTTGGAGATTTCTCATTTTCCATTGTTTGCTTCCTGGGTTCTGTGACGTGTGAACACCCAAATCAACAACAAATGACCGGATTGCCCCAAATGGACCAATCCACGGAGCACCTCACACACCGGGATCCCTTGGCTAACTAACAGGGAGTCCCATTGACTTGCATAGAGCTCCCTGAACGCTGGTAATAGACGAGTTGGGATCGCGGAGAAAAGCTCTCCGCAGACCCATTCTCACAGCGTTATAAACCTTTTTCTTACTCAATATCAAGCCACACTTATTGTTTTTACTTGTGAGTGTTTGTGTGTGCTCAGGATGAGTTTCGCTGTGTTTCACTGTATCGCCGACCCGGAAACCTGTCCGCTCCACGCAGCAGCGAGCCTCGCAACGTCCCGACCAATCAGAGCACACTGGGCTCACAGGGAGGGGGGGGCAGGAGCTCCAACAAGCCGTTTAGGACAGAGAGTGAATACCTGGTGAATACACACACTATACAGAGATGCTGTATGAGAAACCAATGTGATTTTGGAACATTGCATAATATACATCTATGCTAGTAGACCTCAACAATGGAAATATGATCAGTATAAATGGCCATGACATGGGACCTTTAATATCAAGTACACTTTTATGGTCCAGTATGTTTGGATTAATCGGGAGAAATTAAGTATAATATTTAGAATTTGTTTTACATTTGTGGATAATCAACTGAAACCAGTGATTGTTGTGTTTTTGTTAGCTTTATAGACTATACTATACATTATATCAAGGGCATATTGAAATGTAACTAAAAGACAAAGATTCTCAGTTTCTGGCGATTATACACCATCAAATCTTATAAAAAAACATTTTCTATTTCTGCTAATTAATCCTGGTAAATGCCACACATTGGACAACTAAATGCAAAAACAAACGTCATGTAATGTAAATGTAAAGGTTTGTCAGCCAGATAGCTTAGCTTAGCTTAGCTTAGCACAATGACTGGAAACAGGGGGAAACAGCTAGCCTGGTTCTGTCCAAAGGTGACTTAAAAACATATTCGGTTTGAAATGTATGCTTTTTGTTGGTTTGAATGGGGTTCAGTGAAAAAAACAAGTATTTGCTTAAAGGCGTGTGTGAAGGAAGAGGGCCAGAAACATACTCCCTGAAGTCATTCCTATTGGGGAGAGATTTGGTGTTGGAAAAAGTAAACATGAAAATCAACAAACGAAATGCTAACCGAGCATCATGGCGGGAAACGCCGGTCCCTTCTCCTGCAGTTAGTCTCTATTGACTTGAAGATCACTATTTTTTGTGTATTTTATTCAGCATATTCATTATGTTCTCTTCAGCCCAGATGTCAAACAATGTCAAACTTCTAAATAATTCAATCCTTTCCCACTGAACCTTTGTCTATCTTAACACATGCCTGTGAAGGCAGCCACAATCCCTGTGTTTAGATGTTTATGCAGTTGGGTCAGATTTAGTTTCTCACTCCAATCAAGCTGACCTAGGGTCTGCTTGAATCCTCCTGGTCCTGGTCTGGCCTCTCTCTCTCTTGTTTTTCAATACTTAACAATAACTGGTTCACTAGTGATCAAGCAAATTTCACCAGGGGTTGAAGTGCAGCAGGGTTTTAGTTAATGTTGGCTTGTGAAAGGAATTGAGCAATTAATATGTTCTTTTTTAAATGTGTTGAAGTCATCATTAAATTATCTGTTGTCCATTTACCAACTGTTATTGTATCTATAATGATTTCCCCTAAACCTTGAGCTCTCTGCTATTTCTGCAGACAATCAGCAATGTTTTGCATGATTGTGCTAAAAATTAACCTGAAAGCAGCTTTCCTTTTAAATATATTCAGCCAATCATTGTGCATTCATAAGCAGCCCATAGTCTGCACTCAGGCATACAGTGAGCATTAGGAGAAGCAGCACTTGTTAATGCACTCTGCTGTGTTTACAGGGAAAGCTTGATTGCAGACTCCATTGCAGCCTCATATTCACTTCCTGTGTTAATCCCCTTTTGCCAGAGCAGATCTTTCTTTCTGACGCAGCAGCCAGGGCGTGAGGGGAATTTCACTTCTGCTATGCTTCACCCCAAACACTATTCACCAAAGGCACTTGGAGAGAGCCACCATATCCTGCTTAAACAAACAGCATTGAGGAGGTAGAAACAAATGCTTTTGTCTTTGAGTTATATTTAGTTCCTGACTGGCTTCACCCAAACGCCGTCTCTCACGAGATTTGTTTGCCCTCAAACAGAGTTAGATCATATTTGACCATGTTGGCAGCTGGGGAGGCATTTGTTCTCTCTATGTGAAATGGATGATGTCTGTATCGTCATCGTGCAAACATGAGGCAGAAGGTTCTGCTGTTTCCCAATTTTTAATTTTTAATTTTTAATTGTATTTATTCATTTATTTAACAGGGACAGTGCACATTAATGAACATTTCTGTAAATGTGCCAGAGTTAGCCAAGAGGCTATTTTTCATATGTAGTCCCTGGACAGATTTTAAAAGTCAACCTAAAACACATTTCATTTTTTAATTAGTCATGATTTGAGCATATATAGGCATTAAGGAAAATGAACTTGCATATATCTACATTTTCACACAATGTAATTCCTCAACCAGCAGGAATGTTTGACACACAGCTGCAGTAGCGCCCCCGGCCTCTCTAATTGTCCACCACGGTTAGATACGCTGTCCCGGGCACTCCCTCCACTCCCTCACCGATGGTCTCAGTCTATAAACACTGCAGGCCATGGCTCCTCAGAGAGTGGCGTGGTCCAGAAGACAGGAAACAGCTTGAGAGAAGCCCAGCAGTCAAGGCTGTGGGAGGGCAGAGGATAGGGTGGGAAATCAGGGGGATTTCCTCATGTGATGCTGCATGGACTTTTATTAAAGTATGCGTATCTGTGTGTCCAGCATATTAGTTAAAAAACATATGTGTTCATGTCTCTGGGATCAGTGAGTGAATCCTTTAATCTCGTAAATCTCTTTACTCTATCAGTTTCACATCTTCAGGATACTCAAAAGCAAATTATTTAGGAAACATCAATGATCGTGTTATCATTGTGTACATCAACATTTTCCCTATGCTGTCTGCATACCCTTCTGTATGCAAATGTATTGACAAAGCACATTTCCTTGAGATTAGCATCCCCAACACGCAGGATGTTTGTCCTATAGACAACAGTATGTCATTAGTCTTCATCAGAGCCTTTGAGTGAATAATTAAATATTATTCAGAGGCTCTGTGATGCTCTTGAGGGGGATCTCTGCTCACTGTGTCTTTAAAGTCGTGCAGAGGGGAGCCTACAGAAAGGAGGGGGCTGCTGTGCGCCAGTTGGAGGTGTCCTCCTGTCGCTGCGGCTCGGGGTTGACATTTAGAAGAGCGCGTCCATGCTTCAGCGCGGAGATGCGATTTGAAGCCACTGATACTCACATTAAACTGGTTCCAGGCAGATACTCATCACACCGAGGATACATGGATGGACAGAGAAGTAGTGTAATCGGAATTAACTTGTCAGCCAGTGCGAGGAATTTCTGGATAAAATGGGGAATACGACACCCAAGCCTTTAATAGGTGAGACTTGTTCATATTAATGTGTCATACAGGAGGCTCGCGATGCACTTACACGAAGCTGTTCATGTGTTAGAGGTTGATATGTTGAGATACACATGGTTAGTTCTGATTTCTCTAGTTGCTGCTCGCTCTGCGTGGAGACGCGCTTCCCATCACGGGGGAGCTGAGCGTGATACCCAGGGAGCGACAACAAACAAGCGCTCCGAAAATTCACTTTTTACTCATCACTTGGAGAATAATAAGCAGTGATGTAGGATTATCATCAACACATTTTCAAGAAAGGTTATTTGAAACTAGCAAATATCCTATCACAATAAACATATTAGTGTACCTTTTGGAATGTATATTTACTATTTTTGAATTAACTAAATCCATCCCTGATTTCTACAGAAAATATATTTGGAAAACCATGCAGCCTGTGCATTAAATAGCACTTGTGGTGATGATTTGTGTACAATCCAATTGTTTTCCCTTGTTTCTGTTATCTGGCTTTAATCTCAGTCAGGATTTTTTCTTTTTTTCCCATACAACGTTCTTTCATAGATGAATAGATACACTACTAATGAATCCCAATGGGACATACAAGCACTGTGGCTAAGTCACATAGGATTCACAAAACAAAAAAATACGAGGACACATATAGAGTCCAATAATAACATCAATAACTAACTAGAATCCTAACTAGAATCTGAACAAACAATACATAATAGGACCATTCTCTGCACACAATATATCTGTAATACTCTGCTCTTATCTTAAGTATCAAAGCTGTTTTATATAAAGAATCTCAAATGAATTATTCCCCCAGTTTTTGTCAAAAAGCTGTCATCATTCTCTCAGTAGATCGCTTTGACATGATACCTACAGCACATTTGATCATCTGTTCTCCATATCACTTTGATTTAATGTCCGTCACACTCCCACACCCCCATGCACGCTGTGGCAGAATGATGTGGTTACTGCCACCAGAGACGTATAGGGCTTTGACTGAGAACAGTTGTTCACGGAGAAGCAGCAGTGTGGATCCTTGCTTGCACTTTGTGGTTTACATTAACACTGTATTCAAAGAATATCTGTGTTTACTGTATACGTGCAAAACATTTTTGAAAGTAGATTTATCTTACTCAGTATAAAGTCATTTTTCATGCCTATGTGATGAATAAGTCATTGGACCAACTGTGAAACAGTATCAATTCCATTGAGGTGAAATTCATGTTCACAACTTCTGGAGGCAAAATGTGACAAAACAGCCCCTCAGATCCACGGAGGCTCATGCCCTGCTCGTAGTGAATGACTGATGAACACATGCAGCCTAGAGATATGAGGGAATAAAGAGCCTGATCATCTTGTGGCCGAACATAACCCTGACGAATGCGCATAATCACTTTTACATTAAAAAAAACCTTGCCTGCAGTGTGTGTCTTGTGCAGTCTTATGATTGCATTTATTTGTGATTTTCTTTCATCAGGAGAAAGACGTCAATACACTATACTCACAATTTCACCTTATGTGGGAGCAGAAATAACCGAGCTTTGCATGCTGATCACATTTTGGATACTGAACACATCTCTTTCACTGTGATTTCAGTGTGTCTTATCACTTTACAGTTCTAAATTCAAAGACACATTTCCGTCTCTTTCGTATCCTTTGTTGTTATCGTGATTTTGATGCTCCATCATGCGTATATATATCACATAATATATGTAAGACTTGGTTTTGGCCAATATGAGGAATCCTAGTAGAACTGAGTAGTTATAGTACGCTGACATTGACCCAGCCCCAGCTCATGTCACCATTACACTTAAGTCATGGAGCAAAGGGACGGATTTTCCAAAAATGAATCATCAAGTGAGTTTTAACCTTGAGCAACATTTACAACCGGTTTTATTGAGGAACACATTTTGGGTGCATAATTGAAGCCTAATAAAAGTGTCAAATTAATTTCTATCCTCATGAAACATTTGCTTAGCCAAATTTGGTAGCCAATTATCTGGGTTTACTTGCCAGCTGTTTTCTTCTTCCCAGTCTTTTATGGCCCATTGCTGAATTTCCTAGTGCCTTACTGCCATTATGCTGTGAAACCATTGGCTGAGCTGTGTATTGCATCACATACTTTTTTACAGTGCAAACAAAACTTATTTAAAATAATACCCTTTAGTGCTCCTAGGGGTGAGAAACACTGTAAAGTATCTTTAAGTTTGATTCACATTGAACCAACCAAGACAATGTTTTTATCATCCATTTTCTTCTCAAGGTTTTTTAAATTGCCTTTCATTTAAAATGTAGAGTTTCCTTGCTCTTTGTTCTAAAATGAATGGCAATGACTGTATGAAATGATTGAAAGCGTCTGTCAAGTCCACAAAGGTACGCCACACTTTCTCAATTGTTTTCATCGTAACCACTAAGTATAAACCTGACTTTCTTTAGTTAACATGCTATAAAGATATATATGTCTTAACCATAAAGTGTAACTTTTGAGAGTTGATTCAATTTACGATAGAAAGCCTGCGTGCTAATGACATTACAAAGTCAGGGATCTTGACTTTTCTCATCTGGGACGTCGAATATACCAAACAAGTCATCACATTTTATTAAGGGATCTGGAAATAAAGTTAGAACACTGATTTGTGTTAAAAAGTAACCTGCTTTTCAAATGTTGCCTGTGACTTGAATATAATGTTCATAAACGACGAAAGGCAAAGACTGCTGGGCGATGCCTTTCATCGAATAATGTCAGGCGAGCATCTGCCTTCACTGTAGGTCCTTTAACTGCAGAATCCCAGGGCGTCCCCCCCCCCGCTAGCGAGCCAGTTGAGCTTATAAAGCCAATCCTCAACATATTTTTCTCCATACTCGTTATCCAAAGTATATTTTAATTCCTCAAAAGCCGAATTCCCCGGAGTTAAAAAGGAATGGGCACCCAACATCATTTGAGATGTTACAGATGTTCTTCCTGCTGCTTCATAGTTTAGAATATAATCAGTGATAATGTCTAATTTAGTAAATATACTGTGGAACATTTCACTGAGTTATTGTCTTTGCACCAGATCACAGTGAATTTTAAACAGAAATGTAATCACATTGCAGGCGAATACTAACGCAGCCTCCCTTCACATTTTGGATTTCAGCCAGTCTATACCATAAACACACTTCTACAGCGTTCAGTCTCTTTTAAGCCAATGTCTTGCTTTCTTGTTTGATTTCTGATCCATGTTAATATATTTTGTGATGCTCGTGAAAATGAGCATCACAAATTATTCTCAAAAGTAGGATACTGACTCATGGGAAGATCGAAGATTAAGCCTTTCATTTTGATATTTCTTCACAGACTGCGCACTATGTGAATCATTCCACTTCTGAAGATAACTAGAGGAATGAAAGGGGCTATTCAGGGTTTGTTTATGCTGTAGGCCAAGGGTGTGTGTAGCCCATAAATAAGAGGAACGCTTATCAAGTCTCTTGTCGAAATGCTTTGTTATATTTTCTCTACTTTGATGCTATTCATATTTACATACCTGTAAAATATGTTGATTTTACATAAACCAAATGTCCCAGTCATATTTGCACATGGACCTTGTCTATATTTACCCTGTTTCATTTCTGCAATATACATTTCCCGTACGGATGTGGTAAGAAGATTGATTTGGGACAGCTTTTTATATACTGTAAATGTGGATTACATGCTAAAAGAGACTGTTTAATGTACTTGTTGAGAAAAGCACAGAGGTTTATTAGTGTCAGTGTGGGAAAGGAAGTGTATGAGACTGTGGGCTCCTTTACATAACTGGCCTCTGCCCTCTAAACCGACTGCCATGGACTACTTGCAAGTGAGTTATTGTGTGCTGATATGTTTGCCTCTTTTTCCAACTGCTGGTGTCTCTAACATTCCTGTGTTGACCTTGTCTGAGTCACACAAAGGCAGACCTGCTGTTCACATCATCACTTGCTCTCTAACTTGGGTGATCAGGTGCAATCATTCGCTGTTCTCACCGTACCCCTGACTATTTTGCTACCCATAGATGCGACTCTGCAACCCCGCCCGGTGGCCAACAGGCAGTACTACACTCTGCCTAACAATAGGGCAGGTGTGGAGAGGAGAACGTCCGCTGCTCCGGTCAGCATCAGCGTGGAGTCCCCCCGCTTTCACCCCCACGCCAAGGGCAAGAACATCAGGCTGGATGGGCAGCTTCGCCGCGCCACACGCAAGAACAGCTTCTGTAATGGCATCACTTTCATCCACAGGCCGGTCCACCTCTATGAGAAGGTTTGTTTTCAACTCAATCATTGTGCTTTTAAAAGATAAAGATTTAAATAGAGTTGAATCTTAATTCATTCTCTTTATTCAGGTGCGTCTCCGCCTGAGTGGCGTGCACACCGGATGGAGTGGGGCTTTACGCTTTGGTTTCACCAGTTTGGACCCTAGTGAATTGGTCACTACAGACATCCCCAAGTACGCTTGCCCAGACCTGGTGACTAGGCCCGGATACTGGGCCAAAGCTTTGCCTGAGAGGCTGGCCCTGAAGGACAACGTGTTGTCATTCTGGGCCGATCGCCACGGGAGAGTTTTCTACAGCATCAACGATGGAGAGCCCATCCTCTTCCACTGTGGGCTCAGCATCGGCTGTCCCCTCTGGGCCATCATAGATATCTATGGCCTCACCCAGGAGGTCACACTGCTTGGTAAGCACTTCATTATGTTATTTACCTGCTCCAGAAATCGCTCCTGTAAAATCGTTTTTGCAGTGTAAGTGTAAGTCAGAGTAAGCTAGATGTATTTTTTGACCATGGCTTTGACAACCACAACACCTCATGAACTTATTTATACAGTGTCAACACATTCACAGCTAATTTAAACAGCTTCCCCAGAGTTCAGAAAGCAGCTGTGCCAAGAAGCTCTGCAGCAGCGAAGGCCAATATAGTAGCTAGTAAAGTGGCTCAATTATCCACTATCTGTGAGACAACAAATGTTTGTCAAGAGAACCAAAACCATATCTCTCTGAGATAAACAGGATGTGGACCAATCTCATCCACGCTGAACCGCCCACTCAGCTCTCTACTGTCTTATTATCAGTTTCCTGCGCATTGTCACTTTCTCTCTCTTCCTTCATTTCCATCACCCTCTCGCCTGTGGTTCCCTCTCGTACTCACTGGATATGTTTATCTTCAGTCTGACAAGAGCTATGGCCATGTTTGGTCAAGGCGGCAGATGAGCTTTGGAGGGGCCAGGGCTCTCAACTGCTCCAGCATCACTAGAAATAGTAATCGAGGAATGTATCGTAAGTCAAAGGGGGACAAGTTCTTTATATCAGCCCCCTGTTTATAGAGAAATTCAGCTATGTACTATTTGCAGTTTAGAGAGCTCATATTTAAGGAACCTGCTCATTTTCAGGTTCATACTTGTATATTTGGGTTACTATAGAGCATGTTTACATACTTAAATGTCTAAAAAGAACACTCCTGCGTACTCTCATTCACCCAGCTGTTGATGTAGATACTCAGATGGGGTTTTGTAAATTCAAATGAGCCTGCATGAGACCTACAGGAAGGGTGTCTGAGAGGTGGGGTGCATGCCATGTTTTCTGACTGAGGCCGTTCACAAAAAACTGACCTGCGTGGGTTGGTAGGCACTCCAGATATACCCAAAAGTATGTACGTGCAAAGGCAGTAAACAAAGTCATTTATTCATATTATGTCCCTTTTAGGATAGAAAAGGGAATGAACACAAGAGCTAAATACCTTTTTACTGGTGGCCATTAACATGCATTACCTTGGATTACTGCCTAAAAGACGTGTTTAATCTTGCATTTCTCATGCATTAATCATTGCCTTCTGTCAGTCTCAGTGGAAAACAAGATTAAACAGTATTATAAATACATTATATGTGTTAATAATACATTTTTAAAAACGTCCTGTTATAAATCTGTATAGTATCCCAACGATTACTCAATGAATCTATGAGACGAAAAATGAATTTGTAATTTCTATGTCAATCTTTCTGTAAATATTTTCTGCATGTTTTTGTCTTGTGTGACATTAAGCTTCCATTTTCCTCATTTGTCATATGTTTTATAGGCATACTTTATAGAGAATTCATAAATTGAGAAAACAATCAGCAGATTAATCTGTAAAATCACTAGAATTTGCAACACTTTAATATGCCCTATATAAACAAAAGCGCTCATAGAGCAAGAAACCAACATCAAGGAGGCTGCAGTAACTCATGCAGATTGTATCTTAGGAACAAGCTTTTCCTCAGGCATCATAAAAAAGTCCTCCCGAAAAAAGGAGGCGAACAAAAATGACCTGTGCTTAAATTGGTCGTATCTTACATTTGTCACGAAACTTGTATGTTGATATTCTCCATCACAGAAAGCGCGTTTGCTGAGAGTGTGGCGTCCAGCTGCCTGAGTGCGGCCCGTCTGAGTGCCTATCTGCCCCAGAGTAGCCACGACTCGGCAAATTACAACAACAACCAACTGGAGAACAACCAGGCTGCTGCTGCCAAGATGGCCACCCTCCAGCTCAATAACTACAACCAGCTCATCCCCTGCTGCTCCTCCACCATTTCCTCCTCCACACCATCTTCCTCGGCCTCCACTGGGTTCGGCCCCCCGAGGTTGGCCCGGGGCCTTCCCTCCCCGCTGGACAATGACTTGCACTTTCACCCAGTCCGTGGCCCCGATGTGATTCTCTCCGCAGACCGCTCGGCAGCCTGCATCCACTTTCTGGACAGCAGTCGGACTCTGGTGTTCAGTGACCGGCCGCTGCATATGGGGGAGACTTTGTACGTGGAAGTGGGCCACCTGGGCCTGCCCTACTTTGGGGCGCTGTTGTTTGGCGTAACATCATGTGACCCCGCAAGTCTGCACGCAGGGGACCTACCAGCGGACCCTGAGGTTCTCCTGGACCGTAAAGAGTATTGGGTGGTGCACCGGGGCTTCCCCATGCCTTGCTCTGGAGACGTGCTCAGCTTCAGTCTGCTGCCCAGTGGAGAGGTGCATCATGGGGTAAATGGAGTGGCACGTGGCAGGCTGCTCTGTGTGGACTCCTCTCAGGTCCTGTGGGCCTTTTTCACCTTGCATGGGGCCGTCAACAGACTCAGGATACTAGGTAAGCTACTTACAGAAACACAGAGATGTGAACCAAAACCTCAAATATTCCTGTAGTTTTACAATTTTGGTGGAATTGTCAAAAGCAATTGTCGGGATGCCATCTTTAAAAGCATAAAACAAATGTTATAAAAAACTTGGCCTTTTGCATCAGTCTTCAGTCTGTTCTGTAGTGTGTTTTCCAGTAAGGTGCTGGTTTTGTTCCCTATGGACTGAGCCAGCCTAGTTGTTTCACCTTGTTTCCTGTCTTTGTGCTAAACTAAGCTTAATACTCCTGTTTGTAACTTCACATTTAATAAAAAGAAACTGCAGCGATAACACACTCGCAATCCGACTCTCTGCAAGAAAGCATGTGAACACATTTCAAAATATGTCTAGATGTTACAATCCCTGAAAAGGACATGCTCTTCAATAATCATCAGTCTATTTTTGAGACGAGGCAGCCCTTGCAATGTATTTTTCCCAGACTAAAGGAATGCAGTTTAGCAGTTTATGTCTGCATGTGTCTGTTCAGTTTAGAGCGGTGACCTATCTGATCTAGTCCCACTACTCCCACATAAACTCCCCTCGGCACAGACCCAACAATAGTATCGTCAAACAGAAAGCAAAAGAAAATCTCTCTTTGAGACTTCAAGTAATACAAATATATCTAATATGGCTGCTTAGGGATGGTTTGTGTAGAGTCACATTCAAACTGTTCAAGGTCACTGAATTGTAATGCCATCCATAGTTTTAAATACGCTTTGTCTGAATGGCACCTTTAAAGGTCTTACATGAGTCTAATTATCTGGGTCATGCGTATTTATCTTTGTGGCACAGGAACTCTGCAGTCCAGTCCTCCCTCCACATCCACCAGCAGTTCTCAGAGCAGCAGTCCAGACGACAGTGACTCAGACCTGGCGTTCAGCGTCAACAGATCCTCCTCCGCCTCTGAATCCTCTCTGGGTAGGTCACCACATGTTGACAGCATACCTGATGCTAAAATATATGAAAGTCGCTGCATGAAGGCTCTTATTCATCATGAGTTATGAGAAAGACGTTTTATTGAATTCTATGTAACATTTGTAACAGATAAACCTCAATGTTTTGGTGCATACAAAGCTGCAACATTATGTCAAGTAACTGATAAGACAATCACTTATTTACATGCAAAGCTATTCATTCATGAAGGAAATAATTCCAGTGAAATTCAATCCCACTAGTTCAATCAGTGTGTTCATAGGTTGAAATAGAATAGAATAAAATATGTGTATTCTTGTTGCATTTGTTGTGAGTTCAACAAAACATGTATTGTCATGGTGTCACCATTGGTTCTAGGAAAATTAGATGAGCATTTTTAATTATGTCCTGATGTTACATAGATTAACTTGGAAATAGATAACAGATAAATCAACTATGGAAATATCTCTTGGTTGCAACCCTATTACATACTCCTTTTATGTGTTAGCAAAGATTAGATTGTAACATTTGTATTTGTCATAGATTGTAAAACACTCCAAAACACACACACAATCCAAAGCAGAGTATAAAAGCAACAATATTAAAGATCATAACCTGGCATACTCTTCTTAATGTGTACATGCATCCTCGTCTACTCCTCCTCCGGTCTCACACATGTTTTCTTTCTTCTTATCTAGTGACTGCTCCCAGCTCTCCTCTCAGCCCTCCGGTCTCTCCCACTCTCAGCGCCTTTGAACTGCCCCCTGCTGGGAAGAGCGGAGAGTGCACCGTTTGCTTCGACCAGGATGTGGACACGGTCATCTACACCTGCGGACACATGTGTCTGTGCAGCGACTGTGGGCTGAAGCTGAAGAGACAGATCAATGCGTGCTGTCCGATATGCAGGAGGCCCATCAAAGACGTAATCAAAACATATCGACCATGATGTTCCAGATGTGTAAACAGGGGCTGTGACTGATGGATGCCACCTGTGTTCTCAGGCTTTGTTGGACATGAATCTTGACCGCAATCGGAGAAAAGCCAGGACATAACCGTGCCTATATTTCCATTTTATATGGGTGAATCGTTTTTGGAGATAGACTTTCATCTTCATACTCAAAACTGTAATGGAGTTCATCTTAATACAAAGACTGCTTCATGAGCTCCTATGTTTTGACTCAGAAACAAGAGATGTGCTTTTGTTTTGTATTTTCAATGTGATGTCTCTTGCGTTATTTGCTGAGCAGAAAAGCCTGCTGTGAATATTTTGTCCTTACCCTCGTCATACTTTCAGAATAGCGTGCTTCAGCAGAATATGTGGACTTCTAGTGCCTTAGATGTTTGTCACATTTTGTGTCCGAGTATATACGCTAACAATCGTAGCCATAGTTTTAATGTTCAGTGATGTGGTAAAAGAAGGTTATGCAATAAGCAGTGTAAAAGTAAGTGGACGGATGGAACCGGATGGTAAGTGTGTTCAGTGCTTTCGGAAAGGTATGTTTGGTATACAAAATGAAGAATCTGGTTTTGCACTTTGAGAGTCAATAAAGTGGACTTGGTGTGATTCCAATTATTAATAGTTTCAATAAGACGACTTATTTTTTCATGTCAATCACTATTATGTGGTTCTTATAGATACACTGCTGATCAAACAGGTCAACAGTGTGTGAGTTGAAGGTTTTTTTGTGTGAGATCTTTATAGCTCTGGGTATAGGGGCACCTTTTAGTACAGTGAGTTTTTTGATAAGAGAAAGCATTAATGATACTACTTGAGTTGTTTTTTTTAATACATTTTGAATCAGATATTTTTCTTGATTGCATTCTGATAGAATATCTGAAACAATAATCCTTGCTAAAACAAGTTTGATGACAAACTCTGATGGAATTTTACTGACCTTGGTTGTTTCCACGGTCAAGATAAAAGAGTCATGGAAGTCATGGCATAATTCCATATTAGAAGATAAAACCTTTAGCACAGATAGTAAATTGACCTTGAGGTGAGAACGTTTTTAATAGATATTCTCTATTTGATTTGTATTTGTCAACAGTTATAGACTTTTCTTATCGGCATAAACAATATACACACTGAGTTAGGCTTGAAAGCTTTTTCATATAGCAACCATTTTGACTTTTCATCGCAGGAAATGCACAGGCAAAACATATTTAGGAAATGAAAAGGAAGTGCATATTGGACTTAACATTTATCAGATGACTAGATGGGGTGCTAAAGTTTAGTGGCTGTGTAAGTAGTAATTTTTAATAAGGTGTTAGCCATAAGCTACCCACGTCAGGGGGAGGTTTCTTCTTAAAATGTTGTAATTAACAGTTGATTTACATAAAAAAACCACAGAGCCGCATGTGTTTGCTCTTGTGTTAACTGTTAAGGGCACTAAGGTTAACTGTAGGTTAATTTACTGCTAGTTCTACTAACATAAATAATAATAAAGAAGGGTAAATTGTGAAAGACAGCCAACACTATTTCTGAGGCGTTGTAACACTATGCTAAAGTGCTGAGAGGTTTAAATGTTTGCGGTTAACCAATACTGTCTGAGTCAGTAACGCTGAACCTCAGAAGTTTCTCTGTGTATTTTAAAGGGGGGAGTGGACCATTTTGACCTATTAACACTATTGTGCTGGCTGTTACGGTTGAGTGAAGCGGGCAGGACCCAAATGCAGAATAAACTGAAAAAATACCTTTATTTCAAGGTCTAGAGGCACAAACAGAACACTAACACGAGAACACAGTCAAAGACAAACAATGAACCAACAAAGACAGACAGAAAAACCAGAACTTAAATACACACAAGACTAATCACACAAACAAGACACAGGTGAGGAGGGAGGAGAAAACACAGGGGCACCAGGTGAACACAATCGGGTAATTAGGTAGGAGGGAAAACAGACAGGAACAGGCAAGACAGGAGGTGAAGACTTTTCAAACTAAAACATGAAACCAAAGACAGAACAAGACAAGACAAAACACAACACAGACAGATCGTGACACTGGCAGTGAAGCTAACTTGGCTCTTTGTCATTATTACCTCCCGCATTACACTCAGCTGGCATGAATAGGCAGGAAAAATAATCATTGGGTGTTTCATTTCATACAGTCAAGTCAAGTGGAGGTAAGGCAATTTTCCCTTGTATCCACTCATAATATTAAACTTGAATCCACAAGCTATCAACTTACAAAGAAGTTGAGAATGCCAAGTGCAATACATTTGATTCGTTATTAATATCAATTAAGCTTGATTAATGTGATCTCAACACTTTTTAATGACACACAGGCTTCTCAGTGTAAACCTTAAATACAAATGTAATCCATCAGCACTTTGCATTGGTACTTTTTCATGATTGCACATTGTGTTCACTGACACCATGGGATGAGAACATGTTAGCCTGCGGTGACAGCAACATTAAAATCTGCAGTGTGACCATATTTTTTCAGGAACAGAACTACAAACATGGCCCCACTGTTTTGACAGTTGTAAAGCCTCTGTTGTAAACATGAGAGTGTTTATGTCTACGTTTCTAAAAGACCTGTCACTTTCTGTTGAGTGATGCAAAAATCTATCCCCAGGGCTCCAAAGTTTTTACACAAGTTGAGTTCAGTTACTTACCACAGCCACAGTGATTGTGTGAACTGAAAAACGCCACAGTTCATTTAAGACTCATTCCCACTGACTGACAGGTTTGTACATTTTCCCCACGCTAAAGTGATTAGACAGCGTGTTGTGTCAGGAGTGAATTCAAATTTCATAATGTGGGGAAGTGACTGCATTATAATTCCGAGTAAGTAGCCGTGTATATTAAATGAGAAGCCAAACTGAAACATTAAAAAAACGTTAGCTATTGGAAATGGCACAGCATCTTTCCAAGAGGTTCATGAACATGCTTCAAGTAAGTAAGTAACATTTATTTATCAAGTGCTTTTCCCAGACATAGTCAAAAAGTGCTTGACAAAGCATTAAAACGTCATACGAATCATAAAAGATGTAAATGACCACACAATCCATGTGTTAAGAAGTGCTAAAAACACAGTTCATTGTGAAAAACACAATACACAATTTATTTAGGAACATTTCAGACCACAAATGCTAACATGGTGATGGAGCCCTCGGACTCCGCTGGTCAGCTGGGCCGGCCCATCGCAGGGCAGCTCATGCTACACCAAAAGGTTAAACCATTTTTTTTGCATATTTGTTCTGAATATTTATTGCCAATTCTCACTGTTATCACAGTGCAGTGCTACACATTAATGCATATTAATGGTATGCTTAAGATCCTAATAAGTTTGGAGATATATTTAATCACTGTTGTGCCGTGTATTGCAACCAAAGTTACTTTACACATTCAGGGTCCTCGTGGTTATACACCAAAGCTTAGGAAATGTTTCCTTTTGCATCATTTTGGAAAACTTTTCTTGTACATAGTAGTGCAACCAAAATCCTTTCAAACATCAATGGCCTCCTTTTCATGCTCGGGATCGAACCCATGACCTTCTAAATGTTAGACATGTATTCACACCTTCAGCTAAAGGCACCCAAAAATACAATATCTAATTACAATTTCAAATGGTGTTCTTATCCATTAGAGGAAAATATGCTGTTCTATGGTATATAGTATTTTTGAACAATACAGGAACACTGACACAATAAAACAGTGAGTGACCTTTAATTCAAATCAAATCAAATCACATTTTATTTCTATAGCACATTTAAAAACGATTTTTGGTCGAGCCAAAGTGCTGCACATGCAGATAATAAATAACACATTCCTACCGATGTAAACAGAAGACAATAAATTACAACATAAAATATAAAAATCAAACACAGGGAAATGTCATGAGTCGTGCTCTGCTCTGATTAGAAGGCCAGGGTGAAGAAGTGAGTTTTTAGTTTAGATTTAAAAACCCCTAGGGTCTGGGCCGACCTCACATGGAGGGGCAGAGTGTTCCAGAGCCTGGGGCCAGCCGCCGCGAAGGCTCGGTGCCCTCTGGTTTTTTGCCTGGTTTTAGGCACTACCAGTAGCAGCTGGTCAGCAGACCTTAACGCTCTGGCTGGGGTGTAGCGCTGGAGGAGTTCAGCTATATAGGCCGGAGCCAGCCCATTTAGTGCTTTAAAAACAAATAAAAGGATTTAAAAATCAATTCGGAACAGAATTGGAAGCCAGTGTAGTGAGGCCAGAATTGGGGTGATGTGGTCACGCTTTTTGTGGCCGGTGAGGAGACGTGTCGCTGCGTTCTGCACTAGCTGCAGGCGTTTAATTGAGGCCTGGTCCATACCCACGTATAGAGCGTTGCAATAATCGAGTCTCGAGGTCACAAAGGCGTTGATAACCCTCTCCAGGTCTTTAAAAGATAAAAAAGACTTGGTTTTGGCCAATACTCTTAATTTCAAAAAGCAGGATTTCACTGCTTGTCGAATTTAAAAGTGTTAGTAAAGGTCACTCCAAGATTCATGACAGAGGGGAGGATGTTTGTTTTAAGAGGACCCAGAATGTCAACAGAAGAGGCTGGAGGTTGGGGTCCAAAAAAGATGACCTCAGTCTTGCTCTCGTTAAGGTTAAGAAAATGTCTGCTCAGCCAGGACTTCATTTCTGTCAGGCAATCCATCAACTGCTGTAGTGAGTGTTTGTCATTTCCTTTGAATTAAATGTGTTATGTCAACAGGTTCCACATACATGTATTAGTTGAAAGCAATATGAGTTATTGTTCGAAACTGTCCATATTTTAACATTAACCTTCTGTATTACATAAATACAGAATGTGTAATAAAATAACCGAATGGTACAGAATATATAGTAAAATAAAATAAATAGTAAAACGTTTATTTTTGTGTTTGCAAGAGTCTCCATTGGAAGGCGCCATTTCCATGCAAGAGAGGCTCTGTTTGTTGTCAGTAAACCTGACACGTTGTTAATGGCTGTTGATATATATACTGCATATAAGCTTCAGTAACCTTTGCACGATTTTTCCTAACAACACATTCAGTCTATTGTTGTTATTGAATGAGAGAAGCTGCCTTCAAGAGGTCTTCGATGTAAAGATTGCTCACCATTTTTAGTTTGGAAAAAGCTCTCAATCTTACAAGCGCTTCAAGACAGAATGGAACACATATAATCTTTATTAATGGCCAGCCAGCACAAGACTATCCGTTTCTCTGTATCTGAGTCTCGCATCCGGAGCATTTCCATTCCGCACAAGAGAGCGTTCTCATGCCTGCTGGACTAGACTCCTGAGTTCTGTCAGAATGGAGCTGCGCGCAGAAAGGACCACACTGAGGACATCAGTGAAACACGAGCTCATGGCATCTTTATCACCCTTCAGATTGACTGCACAGATGTCCATGCGTGCACAAAGTCTATTTATATTCTCATTATCATGTCACGGTTCCTGTCTTTCCTGCCACTACTCCACATGCGGTGCAGGAGTATCCAAAAGTTAAAGACTCCTTCCAGTAAAGTCGTTTTTAATGTTTGGTCTATAGATATTATGGGTTTCCAGCTAAGCATTTGAGCATTCACACCGTGACCGATGCACCCTGAGGGGACATGGTTTTAGAGGTGATGGACAACAATGGATCTATCTGTTTGTCCCGGAACGAGAGCGACCTCGGACTGAGCGCTTCCTCCGCCGGAGTGTCGACTGCGCTGGCCAGCGTGCTGATCTTCACCATAGTGGTGGACATACTGGGCAATGTCCTCGTCATTCTCTCTGTATACAGGAACAAAAAGCTCAGGAATGCAGGTGAGAGATAAACAAACCAATAGCGTGTTGATTTGGGAGTAGACCAACAGCTGGTAGAATATATACACAATGTATCCAAGTTAGGGACAATCAGCCAGACATTTGAACACAAAAAGAACAACAAAATGATGTTTAACACCTCCTCTGAAGCCAAAAGAGGGAAACAACCCTTCTCAATGACAGTATGTGGCATGGCTTATTTCCTCTCTTTAGTCATATATCTGTAAAATGTGTAATATAAGTGTGTGACCGCTTTGCCTCACAGTAAGGCTTCTATTTAAAGTTAGTGTACAGCGTTAGTGTGCTGGATTTTTCCACAGCAGTCTGCCTTCATATTTCTTCATGAATAATAATAATATCCTCTTCCCATTATCTGGCTTTATCCTTGGTTCTCCATTGCAGACAAATCCCATCATGCCTCCTTATATCATGAAGTGTAGTGGCCCATGAGCAGCTAGGTGAGACATGCTGGTGTTTCAAAGCCATAGCTGTAATGTTAAAAGCACTATTGTGTACTATTAGTTAGATTTCAAGCAGACAGCAGTGTGAAGCTGAAGAAGGTATTCATCGTAGTCACTTGATTGTTTTTTCTCTTCCTTGGAAAATGTGCCCCTATATTATTATATAATACCTGCTAGTAATTAGTCTGTTGACTCTATGAACTGCATGGACTACGGGATGCTATACATTATAAAGGGTGCAGAGTTAGATAAGTTTGACGTTTTTTCTTTATTCTCACTCTTGATGTATATTTCATTCCAGACTTCCTTTACAGTTACAGTGAACATCAAAATAGTTATATAAAAAGTGTTATTTATTTCGCTGTTACTTTTAGTGGCAAAAAGAAAAAAAAGATCATTACTGAAGTATGACAAATACATTGAAAGAAATTATAAAATGTTCCTTTCACAAAAGAAAAAGCTTAATTCACAAGTAGTGAAATGCTCTCTTGCTCAATTCATTGAACTCAGATCTTTTTCTGCTACAATCTTATTTGTCGATGGGGTTATCATCGGCTTTTGCTGACTAACGTTAGTAAATATTTGCACTTGAATTACAAATGCAGAACATTTCATCTGTTCTCTAATCGTCCCTGATGAATATGTCTCTGTTTTTATCAAAGGATAAAACAAACAGCAATGCAAAATTCCATAGTTTGAATTTTACTTGTGTTTTTATTGGTTTAGATATATCTGGGCAGAGCGTCACTTTTGTCCAATTCCTATACAAATGTAATCATCAGTAAAATCTTGGGTTGCAAATTGTGTGCCCCTTTAGAAAATAATAATATCTTAATACTCAGAAGAAAGCGACAAAGAAAATGGTCAAAGACAACATTCACAGGGCAGTCTCCCCAAAAACATTTATCTACACCCGGCAGGGTACACGAAGCAGTTGTAACACCCATGATGCATAATGTTATTCTGCAGTCACAAGAACTGTGAAGAACACATCTTAATTAAATAATGAAACCTCATGATTTTGCTTTCCAATTATAACCGAGAAAAATCAATGTTTTGAAAACCAAGCAGAGAGATCGAAAATGTGTATGTTGGACATCTGAACCCCTTAACCGATGTTTAGAATAATGAGCTTTCAATTACAATTTTAAATACATTATATAACACATCCAATGAATTCCACCAGCCAGAAGCAGTTTGGCAAGTAGTTAGGGAGCCCGGTGAATAATTTGATTATCTGGTTTGCAAAAATGCCACAGTCGACCAGTCTCAAACAAGAGGGCAGGAGTAAATGGCTCGTTCAAAAGTCTTCTTCATGCTAGTGGATTATGCACACTGTGGTGATTACTGACCTCATGTCAGCGTTCCCCCGACTCTAATTGGACTGACATACAGGTCCAGTTGCACGAGAGACCCCGCCAGTGTCATGGTGGACATTTGATCTGCATGTGTGAGCAGAAAACCTGAAGCAGCAGAATTTATTTTCTCTCCCAAGTGTGTCCTTAAGTGACTGAAACTGTTACTGCTGTTCATCAATTTCTGCTCTGTTCTTAACATAATATTTATAGGTGCGGTTCAATTTGTATGATTGTTTAATTGTACACAGAGTTTCCGAGAGAAAGCATGCTGAAGAACGGCCAAGACCTGTCAGCCATAAAAATCACACTTTTGGGCCAACAAACTTCATCATGAGTGACATACTGAGGTGAGGTGTATACTGTAGGATTTACAGGTAAATACATATTTATTTTTTAAATGTGTGTCAGGCAGATTTCTCAAAACCTCCCACCTCTCTCCATAGCACAGTACTCAGACAGCTGGTTGTCTCCCTCACACACAGCAGCAGGACCTTCCGCTCTGCTACACTTCAACACACTTGCATTGCCTCCATATATCCCTCCACTCTCCACCACACAACCCCCCCAAAAAACATGCATTTGTGCTCATTTAGTAGACACCGGTACATCTTTTAACCCTCCTGTTATATTCGTTTCTGTAACAGCCAAAATATTCCTGGATCAATGTTTTGGATTATCCAAAAATGGTCAGAAACCCCAAAATCCATATTTTTTTGTTTGTTGTACCTGTTATCACTATCATTTCAATCAATATTTAGTGCAATGGTGTTGACCACCACTCACTGATCATGGTTCAATTAGGATCATTCACTTGTTTTTCACCAAAAAATACACAATCAAACAAATGTTTCTGTTCATGGAAAACACCATATACAAAATACATTAGTTTTGCATTACATAACATTTCTTAAATTACTCTTTACATTTAAAAAAAAAAAATTCCATTAGGTGATGTTGATAAATAGAGATGAGACACCTCTTCTATTCAGGGTCAAATTGACATAAATGATATGTATTCATCCCCGATATCTTTATGTTTTGAGGGAGAACTGGTACCATATGTTTGATGCACAAACGTTTGCAGGTTCTCTGTACGCATGTCAAAAGGTCTATCCAGTGAATCTTCATAGGGAAGGGAATGGCTCTGTACGACTGCAGTGTTCAAACTGGAGTTATACTCAGAATATGCACTCATGAGAGAGGGAGGGAGACGGACAGAGAAATAAAACGGTGATGGGGAGCAGACTCAAAAAAATGAGCTTGACCGTGTGTGTGTTTGTGTGTGTGTGTTTGCAGCTTGCAGTAACTGTGTGTTGTGTGTACAGATAGGAGAATACATTCTGTCCAACCATGTGCTGCATCCCCTCAGTCTCTCTAAAGTCACGATCAAAACCTAAAAACAGATCGTCCAGAGGCAGGATAATTGAGTCAGTGGACTTATTGCTTCAAACCAGAGGCCAATATAAATTGAAAGCCCATATCCATAAGGAATATTATTTAGCACACTACATTAAACATGTTTTATTTATTTATAACAAAATAGCACATGAGGCTTAGCCCTCTGTATGGTTAGCGTGGAGATGGGATATTATATTTAGATTATTTGACTAAAGCACACCTAGATAAGGTAAATGCTGTAAACTGTCAGAGGCCGCCTGTGTCCTGATGGTCGGAATTCTCTCAGGGCCAGTGAGGCTTTTTTTCTCAGGCTTAAAAGATCTGATGTGTTGATCGCTTTTCAGAATGATGATGATGATGATGATGATGATGATGATGATGATGATGATGATGATGATGATGATGATGATGATGATGATGATGATGATGATGATGATGATGATGATGATGATGATGATGATGATGGTTTTAGCCAGGCTCATCATCACCTAAAGGCAGCTTGTGTCACTTGAATGTTAAACTCCTCCCAGAACATTCTCTGGCCCCTTGAACACGAGCACTGAAGTAGTCACTAATAGTTTGTCAGCCTTGTTAATGCCCTTGCCGAGAGTTTATGATTGCTTGTTTTTGATAACATGACCGATTAAGTCGAATGTAATCTAATACTAGATGGGCACTTGTAGCCAGGTCCAGAAGATGCCGAGCCTCCTACACATTTTAAAGATGTACAGGTGTATATACAGTATAAAGAAATGTGAAGAAAAGAGAAGTGTATATGTGTTCTTGTACAAGCTGTGAAAGTGATGTGACGGTGGGTTTGACAAAGCAACATGTTCAGATCCGCAGCAATGCAATTCATCAAGTTGTGTTTTGGTTTGTTTATCTCTTGCCCTAACATGTTTGTTATGTGACTATTGTTGCTCTATATGTATAATGTTCCTTTTGTTATTCAGAGCTATTAAGCTGCAATGCAGCACAGTGCCATAAATATGTTATATTCCAAGTCTATTTTGATACATATACCGATTTGATATGCTGGGTGGGAGGCAGTTTCTATGTGATATGATTTTGAATGTGCTGCAGCATCGTGTGCGCTGGGTGATTACTCACGCAGAGCTGATTATCTACCTGCTGCACGGATTTGATTTATGTTTCATTGGCCTGAAAAGTAGTATTCCACCGACAAAAAGAAGGAGACTCTGGGGGAATTCATGGGGTGGTTAACTCCCGGGAGGAAGGCACTCTAAAGAATCAGTTGATTTGATGCCACAATATACTTGGATAACGGTTTTGTGTGAGTGCACCGTAAGATCAGATAATTAAAGAGGTCTGCGAGTCAGCTGTCTCTGACTGCCTTTAACCAATCAGCATGCAGGTTATGCTCTATTCAACTCACACTCATTGTTAATAATAGCTCCCAAAGATGTCAGCGGGCAAGACTCTATTCTGGTATCCAGGCGTGAACACATCTCTGTTGGTCGGCTGTTAAACACTTAAACAATCATTTGATTGCTATCAGTTTGGGCGTGATAAGCGTCAAGCTGGCCAAGTTGGTTAATTAAACAGCGAGAGGTACTTCGTCCAATGTTTTAATAATGGATGCCAACAAAACAAAGACAGTCATCTGGCCGCTTCACAGCAATCCTCTCAGTGGTGTTTTAGCACTTACCTCATCCTCTTGACGATAAGGGGGAGACAGGGTTCAGCCAGAGAGGGCTTTAATGCTGCAGCATGCCCTGTCCAGCCAGTTGATAACACCGAGCCGCATGATGCCAGCGAGGAATCAAACTGCTGCACAATGACACATGCACACAGCTAGCACTGTGAGCGTCACAAATACAATCTGACAGATTTGCCCACTGAGCTGACTCCAGGATGAAGAACAATGCTCATATTTTTATTTCAGAAGGCCTGAGAGAGGGCTCATTGTGCTTTTTTAGCAACGTAGAAATGTTATACCTGTGCCAGGTCTGTGACTGACATTTGTTTTTCTTATACAACCCTTTACTTAGGTTGGAATAAAATGATGATGATATTAATATATGTTTTTTTTTTCTCATTTCTCTCTTTTTAGATTAATCAAATGCAGGCAATGGAATTCAAATAGACATACTGTAGCTGTGTTATCCCTAAAGTACAGGGATTGAACGGGCTTTGGGTGAGATTGATAGCCGACATGTGTTTTGAATCCACTCCCATCACATCTGCCAATCACTACTGTTGTTTCAGCTGCTTGGTGAATGAGTGATGGCTCTCGGCCCTGACTTTTCAACTTCAGAAGGAAGTCTATGTTATATCAACCCTGGAATTACCCCAATATCTGACACGAAGTGAGGCACATTATTTATAATCCTTTACAGATTATTTACGTAAAGCATAAAGGTTTATATTCTGACCAGTGATGTAATGGTTTATGAGAAGCTGGGTAAAAGTTGGTGATGACAAGCAGAATGTAATCATGTTTTTGGACTGGTTTATTTCCATCAGCTTTATTCTACTCGTAGAGTATGATGAAGAGTTTTCAATCTAAAAAGCTGGTTAATGGAGGGAAATTATGAGTTTATTTGGGCACTTTCTTCACTTCATTACACATTTTGACTCCTAAAATGTGTAGCTGCCACACAAAAGACCCTTTATTGCACAACATCTACTCAGAACGTATGGGAAGCTACTGTAATGCGTCTTCTGTGAAACAGCAATTCAATTTTGTTGCTCCACTAAACTGTTTTCTGTTATCTATCGTCTTATCTGAGACAACAATACCATTTGATTTATTATTCTATTCTCCTCCACCCATATCAATATCAGACGTCATATTCTATGATTCATGTATTTTGAGGAGGTCCAGTGTCGCACTAAGCTCAGGAGGACAGGAACTTGTTTGGATGTAATTGGAAGCTCAAACCTCCCATGTCCTGTTTTATTTATGTGCTTAAACTCAGTGTTCGGAGGTCCCGGGGGCAAGGAATCGTTAAAACAAGCACAGCCACATTTGAACATTTTGTGGGAATAGACCTGCCAAATAAAACACTGTCAATACAACAACTCTGTTGTTCCTGTGACTAATAGTGTTAGTGGCTTGTGTCTTGGGAAACACATTTGTACGAACAAGAAGTCAACTGATTTGCTCTGGCTTTCTCACAATGAAAATTCTAACACATGAAATGCAGATGAAAATTTGGTGATGAAATAACAGTTTTTGTGTTAATGTAAGAGCAACTTAAACAGACTGGTCAAATGTGACTTGGAACACTATGGGGAGAAACAAACCCCACAGGAGCGTAAATATAGAAATTGCACGACTGAAATTAGAGTCCTGAAAAAGAGGATCCAGAGAGGTCACAATAAAGCTGCTCTTTTATGATTTTGATGTTGATGATAAACTGTAAGTGTACTTTTATTGACCCAGTTGATGTTCCTCTGGAGCATGGACTGGAAAGGTTGTGCTGTAATTTTAATCATATACAAGTTTGGGTCCTCTTTTAGTCTTAAAACATTTCCAAAATTGGGATCAATAAAGCACTATCTAATCTTATCTTCTGTTTCCCCAGGTAACATCTTCGTTGTGAGCTTGTCCGTGGCAGACCTGGTGGTGGCATTGTACCCGTACCCTCTGGTCCTGACAGCCATCTTCCACGATGACTGGACCATGGGCGACCTGCACTGCCAGGCCAGCGGCTTCATCATGGGCCTCAGCGTCATCGGCTCCATCTTCAACATCACGGCCATCGCCATCAACCGGTACTGCTACATCTGCCACAGCCTGCACTACGACCGCCTGTACAGTCTGAGGAACACCTGCTGCTACCTGGGCCTCACCTGGCTGCTCACCGCACTCGCCACCGTGCCAAACTTCTTTGTTGGCTCGCTGCAGTACGACCCCCGTATCTACTCCTGCACCTTCGCCCAGACAGTTAGCTCATACTACACCATCTCTGTGGTCGTTATTCACTTTCTGATCCCGCTGCTGGTTGTGTCCTACTGCTACATGAGGATATGGGTGCTGGTAATTCAAGTGAAACATCGAGTTAAACCGGAGCAAAGGGCCAAACTGCAGCCTAGTGATGTGAGGAACTTCCTGACTATGTTTATGGTGTTTGTGTTGTTTGCCTTCTGCTGGGCTCCACTGAACCTCATTGGCCTGGCTGTAGCTATAAATCCTGTGAAAGTTGCGCCCAACATACCCGAGTGGCTCTTTGTCACAAGCTACTTCATGGCGTACTTCAACAGCTGCCTCAACGCGGTCATATATGGACTGCTAAACCAGAACTTCCGTAAAGAATACAAGACGATCCTTCTTGCTATTTGCATCCCACGTTTGCTCCTCATGGAGACGTCCAGGGGCGCCACCGACGGAATGAAGAGTAAGCATTCGCCAGCTGTAACGAACAACAATGTGGCAGAATTAAATGTATAAACGTAATGTTTTCCCGGGAAACTTTGTTGAAGTTTCTGTGGAGCCTCATTGTGGATGTGTGACCTCACCCAGTGCCTTCTCACAAGATGTGTTTCATTTTGGAGAAAACACTACTGCCATCGTATTCCTACTGCCACTGTTCCATAATAATCAATTGTATCACCGTTACGTTGCATTCCTTTGTGACCCCTTTACTCTTTTAAATACAGACCAACTGGTAAACAAGCACCAAGAAAACAGGAAACTAGTCAGTGTCCACCTAAAAACATTTGGACCCTTTAGGGTAATCTTTTATTCAGTGAGTTTTACGATATTGACACTGTATATCTTATGGACAGGGGCGGTTCTAGGGGGGGCCAGGGGGGGCAGTGTCGCCCTAACACTGACTTTGGACCCCCCTGTGGCCCCCCTAAAAATGAAAAAATAAAAAGGTTATGATTAAACGATTTCTTGGCTGACGGAATAGGCGGAAGTAACCATTTGTGTCACTCTAGTCGGACCCATTAGAGCAGGGGTCTCCAACACGTCGATCACGAGCTACCGGTATCTCGCAAGCCCTCAATAGCCCCCACTTTACAAATATGTTGTTGTTTTTTTAACGCAAGCCGTCATCGCCACGGAGGAGCGCACAGCCTCTGTGAGCGAGCGAGACAGAGAGAGAGAGCTAGTGAGAGCACACCTTTATCTATGTAATGTGTTGTAAAAAATAAAGAAATCATTCCAATGATATAGGACAGTAAAAAAGAAGAACGAATACTAACTATAGGTAACATAAGATAAGAATAAACTAGTTTAAATTATTTGTTATTGGTTGTGATCATATTCTAAAGATTTGTTGATTATTGAAAAGTATACAGCTCTCTTTCATGAGTGTTGAGGGCTGTATCCATAAATTCATTTTGTGCTCAAAGTGCACCAGATTGATGCATTTAACTTACCCTTTAACCCCCCTAGAGGATGTGAGGTCCACCCCCGAATGAAGCAGGTTCAAATAATTAAATTGCATACATTTTCTTTTAGTAAACACTGAAAACGGGTCCCACAGACCCAAACAGCACACAAAGGTTAAAGGTAAGCGTATAATAATGTGTAATGAAACAAATACCAATAACTGTATTGCATTGTTTTCTTCGGTGTATGCGCAATTACTTCATACTGTCTTTGTCTTTTTCGTCCTGCATTTATTGTGCCCCCTCAGAAAATAACTGGCCCCAGCCTGGCCCCCCCAGTCAAATTGGTCTAGAACCGCCACTGCTTATGGATGGGAGCTTTCACTTTCCACTGTTTCTGCACAGTGAAAAGGAGGATTTATGAGGGAAAATGGGTTGTTTTTCCTTAAATGAATTCCTTTAGGCCTTTACACACCTGTGCAATTAATTCACATATGAATATATTTATAAGAACTGTTGTTACATCATAAATACTTCCATGCAGAATGTAATATTATGCAGCAAAACAGCCACCTATTTCTTTTTCCAGAACAGATTGATTTTTCTAAGCTATTGCAGAGCTGGAAAAAGCATCTTCCAGTCTTGTTGAGCAGAACGGACACATTAAAAACATAATGTAGATGAGGATAATACAACTTGTCATATGCTTGTCGTGCCACCAGTATGTAAATGCCTTTAATATACTTTTATATTAGCCCGCAGCCTTTTTATTTAAAGCTAGGCTCAATTATAAAGGATTCGACGCTATCATTTATAAACTTTTTAGTGGCCGAAAATATTAAAGCAAAAACATATTTTAGCTTGTGTAGAAGTTATAGTGAAGTGTGCATTACTTATATCCTTCTGGATGCATATGAATACATAGACTCTTTCTCTCTAGAATGTAGCCTGTATTAGTTCACCATGATGCTGATCCACCCTCAGTCTTCTGAGCAACGATGTCCTCACACAACATATTGGAAAGATTGTGGAAGATTTGGGTCCGGTTTTAATAAAAAAAGAGAAGAAATATATAATCAGGCTGTGTGTGTTAATAGAGAAAGACGTGCCTTGATTTATTCTCTCAAAGTTTCAGTACATTTTTCTGGTAAACATTACAGTCTTTGAACTGTCTACTCTAAACTATCGCATGGGTCAATTTATCGGGCAAAAACATCCCTGTATGATTTAGGAATCAGATCCGTTTTGAAAAGGGGAAGAGCAGATGATAGACAAATATAGCATTCTTGTTTATTTAATGCATGGGGGACATGACACACATCAGGAGCCAGAGATGTTACTATGTGTTAGTGCGAGTGTGCCTGGGCACATGTCACCCTGGCAGATATGAGCTCTGACAGCCTCCCAGCATAACTCCAGTCCAGCACACAAACTGTGAGCGGTTCACCTCACAGGAAGGCTCAGAGTAATCAATGTGACACATTTTTGAAATGATGCATCCTTACTGGAATGTTAAAGAGACCATGCATTAATATTGCCTAATTCAATTTTGTCTGTGCTTATAAGCGTAGACTTGCTGCCTGATGTAAATTAAACCCTAAGTAATTAATTATAGATATATGAGAAGGAATTTAAAACCCTAACAGAACTTGTTTCAGGTGATATCATGTTGCAGAGCTGCAAAATGGCCCAAAAATGTTCAGTGCTGTTTGCAACCTCCCGAAACAGCGTCTCTGATGTGGAAGAAAGAAGCGGCCCACATGCCAGTGCAAGGTCAGCTACAGATGAGTGACTAAAGGGGCTCGAGGGAAGATGACACAGTCGGCTCTACATCAACGAGTCACAGACTAATGGCAGGGACATCCATCTTCCTCCCCCTCTCACCTACCTCTCTTCATTCTGTCCTTTTCCTGCTCTTTTTAGATGTAGCCCTATTGAATGATCCTGCTGTAAGGATAAGTGTGACAATATTGAACCTTTCCTTTTTTACTTTCATGTGAGGATCCATACCATTCCTGTTTTGTCCGCGAAATATGAAGCTTGTGGGCATTTTGAGAAGAAATTGAGAAGAAATACTTGAGAAGAAATTGAGAAGAAATGTGATTTAAGGCTTGCTGGAATTTCAGCAAGAAATGTGGAGAACATGTGGCTTGATATTGAGTAAGAACATGTTTTTATGAACCACACAGCTTCCGGTCTTCCAAGACCCGACCGGACAAAAAGACGTGCTGCAGGCACGAAACATACTACCAATAGAAATACATTGCTTTTAAAATCGTTCTGTGTGACACGAAAAGAAGGGGAAAATCGTGTTGGTGAACACGAATCAATAGATTAAATGTCGTGACTATAACACGAAATGCCGTGAGACTGGGTTGCAATGTTATATCCACGACTGTGTAATGCAAGCTTTGTTTTGCAAAGAGATCAGATTTCTTAAGATAAGATTGATGGTTTTAGTCAATAATGAATGACGAAAGACACACAACACATATCTCTTAGTGGATAAATCAAAAATACAAACATTCAAGTCCATGAAAAGCTGGCATGACTGCTAACCACCAACACTGTCTGTCATTTTGCCTGTGAGTCAATATGAAGGCTAATAGCTTGCAGAGACCAATTTCCTTTCATGTTCATGTTCAAGGTCAGCATCATGTATCTATGCCGACGTATGCCAGAAGATCCATCATAACTCATGACAATATTCAACACATTTCACATACGTTCTCTCGCTGGTTTCTCTGTAACATCCGATCTGATTGCTTTTACTTTGGTTGTTCCTTTGTGTTTTAGCTTTATATAGCGAAGTCACATCATAAATCCCCATCTGCTGTCATAAAGGGATTTGTCAGAATTTCATATCATCAAATACTCTTTTGTCAAAAAACTGATATCTTTTATTATTTTTCATATATATTTTGTAGGCCACAGTAAATGAAAGATCTTTAGAGCTCTTTCCAGCGTCCACAGAGTGTCACTAAGGATGTATTGCCAAAACTGGACCAAGCACACAAGGAGCAATAAGGCATAAACTGGAATGTGTCTGTAAATATGATACTTCACATCCGCCACAGGGGTCTTTACTTGCTTATTTTCCTCGTGTCCTCAGTGATGTGTGAGGAGAGGCCTCGAAGAAATAAGTGATCATTTGTGGGAGATATAGATTAATTCCCCAACACACAATGGATGAGAAGTGAGGCAATGTGTGGACGGAGGCTTGCATGACATGATGGTTTTTCGCTCCGCTGGATGAAGCCCTAATTCCCATCTTTGCACAGAGGAATTTCTACAGCTTCGCACATCATTGCATTTTCCAGTGGTGGGGTCTCACAACAGTAGGCCTGTTGCCCCAAAAGCAAGTCTCCTAATAGATTTGTGCATCATGGTTTAGCACTGCTTGTGTTCTCATGCATATGATGCGTCTCTACATGTCTGATGGGCAATGGGTCACAAAACTACCAGGAGCTTTTAGGTATTGTGGTTCCAAGTAAGCTAATGAAAACAGGAAATGGGGATGATGGGGTTTATTTATGTCAGATTTCTTGACTTTTATATTTAAAGAGAGTGGTATCCAACACAGGGAAATACAGATGAAATTGGAATTGGAAAATCATAATCTGAAGTTGTTGCTGTCTAATTGTTAAATACATGCAAAGGATAAATGAATAAATTGTGCTATATTTGCCTCTGAGTGCAGTTGAAGTAAAAGTAGCTAAAAAGGGAAATATTCAATTTGGACAATAAAGTACAGTACTTGGGGAATTGTATGTGGTACATTTTCAACACTAAAAACACAAATGGAAAATACTTGAACATGAATTACTACTGATAGCAATCCTCCAACACTAAGCAGCAGTTGCAAAAACAGTAAACGAGCCATGAATAGCATTGAACTATTTAAAAAATCAAATGTATTCTTACTTTGAATTGTAATGGACACTGTTGCCTGGTCAAAACAACAGGTGTGCAGTGTGCGCTGCCTGGTGTTTGACAAAGAGCACTGGAGACACATGGAATGCAAAAAGCATAGCTAGGGGAGTCCAGACAGAGGGAGGCATGGGAAACACTTCCAGAAGTTCAGAGGTCAAGTGCTAAGAGGAAGGAAAATTAAGTATTGAACATGCAACAGAAGACCCCTTGACCAGATCCAAAACGCTATTATTCCATTGGGAACACAACTTTTTTAAGCTTTAATTTTCTTTGCGGTTTTATTAATCCTCCTTATCCCATCCCATCAAGTCCTTTATCGCAACATATTCTGTACGACTAGTCAACACACTGTTTCACATGCATTGGGTTTTACACAAAGAAAGGTGTTTGATATGAAACAACATCTCATTTTAAAACACAGTCAAAGCAACGTCCCAGAATGTTCATTGTGTATTGATTTTGCCCCAGTTGATAAAATCGGCAATCTTTTATGAAAACCACTGCCTCGTGTCCTAAAGGTTTTGATCTGGCTGGCACCAATTTAGGATAGCGTTAGGCATTATCATTTGTCCATATCATGTCTTTATGTGTTGCTGATGAACAAAAATACATGTATTTGGTTTTTAGTGTTGCAAGTCATCAGCTCCAGTGCTTCCTGTCGCTGAAGTGCATCATCTAACAAGACAAAAAGGGCATACCGCTACACCATTTTTTTTGTAATGCTCTTAGTGGTTCATTCTGCAACAGGATAAAGAATAATATGATGCACTATGACACATGCAATCATGGGCTTTTTGTTGGTTAACTATATGAGGGTAAAATTCCCAAAGA